TTATCTCTGCAAAGAGTGTATATTAGAAGCTCCCAAGGTAGTAATACAAAGAAAAATAGTTTTTCTTTCTAATAAAATTACATAGAAGCAAATTCGTCGACAAAGCGCAAAGTTACAGTTTTTCAAAAATGAAACGACGTTACTTTCGGGAGAACCTAATGTAATTGACTTCCTGCTCTAATTTAAATGACCCAGTTTTTCAGATGTCAGTCAACTTCGCTAATGGCGAAAAACCGGTCGTGAAAATCGTCCAAAAAGAGGGAGATGAGGTCAGCACGTCTATCGAAGATGCTCCGCTTACTGGAAGTGTGGATGTGGATCGATTTGTAACAAATGTACTTGGCGACTTGAATCGACATATACTTTCGTTCCGCACTCCCTTCAACCCCAATCCAGCTGACGATTTTATCCCTTCTCCGTAAGTTTTTGAATATTATGCAAATGCAGCTATCTGAAAAACGAAATATTGTAGTGATATGATGATGGGACCAGGACCGCACATGATGGCGATGCATGATCGAATGAATGCAATGATGGATGCTTTTTCGAGACAATTCTTCGATGGTATTCGTCGTCAGATGCACCGACAACACCATTCTGCTATGAACAGACCTAGCGGTCATGATGGCTATGCTCATATGGGTTAGTTTATTATACTGAAGGGACTTCATATTGCTCGCTTTTTTCCACTTTCTTGATAATTTCGTGGACCCTGTGTTTGGTCTTTGCCAGTATGGTCTTTTCGAAAATGTGACTAGACATCTTACACATTTCATAGTCTTACTGTGATCCGAACATGAAACTTAAGCAGTGTTCCAGGCATTTTCTTTGTGATCTGATCTTGCAGCGAAATTGCGAATTGCGACGGTATTTGTTGAGTGTTGCTTGAGTTTTCTCACACTTTCTCGTCTTTTTCTGGAAAGCCTTGGAAAGGCAAAGTTTCATATTTGGCATATATTGGGAAGAGATCAAAGGCTATCCGTTGGCGTCATTTTCGCCCTATCGGAAATGATTTACAGTAAATATAATGCAATTTTCTGAAGGCCTATGAAGGCAGTGGCTCGGGAAAATTGCGATTGTTGGCTTTTCACGATTACATGGCTTTCTGGACCAGCTGACTCCTGTACTGCGCTTGAAAAGTGAATAGTGCTTTT